AATCCGTTGGGCTATGTCGGTTACTCTAGTTCTACTGCGGATATCCTCATTTCTGAGTTTATCACGCAGAGAAACTCCGAGCATAGCCCTCTCCATAGCTCGCTGAGCGACCTTGAGCTTCCTCATCCGGCCAGCAGTGAAGGACCACGTCTCAGTTCCGTATGTCATCACTGGCAACACGCACTGGGTGTACAGTCTCGTTTTCAAGTTTTGAGGTATACCTGACGAGAAGATGTGCCGTAATTTCCCGAACGCTGCCCAACCGAGTTGAATCCGTCGATTGACCTCTTGGTCGAAGTTGGACTTACCTAGTCGGACTATTTGTCCCAGGTAAACATACTCGTCAACAACTTCGAGCTTAGTGTTCCCAACAACTACCGGCATAGGTGTGACATGGACATTAAACATGATCTTTGTTTTGTCCATGTTCATCTTAAGACCTATCCGTTGGGAAACACTATTGAGGTCATTGAGCATAGTGCTTAGGTCCTCCAGCGATTCTGCCATAAGGACTATATCGTCGGCAAATCGAAGGTGAGTGATGTACTCGCCATTGATGTTGATACCGTATCCTTTCCAGTCCAGAAGCTTGAAAACATCTTCCAATGCAGCGGTGAAGAGTTTCGGGGATATGACGTCACCCTGTCTTACACCTCTCTGCTGTGGCTTTTTTTAGACTTAAAATAATCATTAAAGACCAATTTTCGGATATTTAGTCTAAATCACTCCTATACTCTATTCCAATTACGAAGTCCCTTTTGACACTTCTTATAACGTAACTCTTCACGTTTCGCATAATCTATAATATAAAAATGAATCGCTAAATGTGTTGCTAAGCGCAAATCTCGAAAGCAGCTGAACCGATTTTGCTAATTATTTTTTATAATATTTCTTGAAGTACGAAAATGGTTCTTACAGAGAGAAAAATTTAAAAAAATTGCCTGAAAAAGTCTAAAAATAACACTTTTCTATATTCCATACAAAAGATTCGTAATAATACTTAAAAGTCAATTTGTACTTTAATACCATACCATAAAGTTTAAGTGTTAGTGGAGAGGTTCCGGGAAGGCAAAACAATTGAGTGACGTTAGTATCGTATAAATATTAATGTCAATATTTTTCAATATTTATACGATGGTAACATTACTCTAAGACAAAATTAGGTTTCCGCGCAAAAAAATTGATATCCATGAAATCGTAGTAAGTTCCACGCGGGTGAAGTCGCGAGGCACAGCTAGTTTGAAATAATAATGATTTTTGTTCATTGTCGTAAATCATCATTTAAAAATACACAATCAATCTAAATCATTATACAATTAATTCACACACACACAATCAACATAATATTGTTTTTAGACATCGTGCTCAAAATAATTAAAACTTTAAAAGATAATAATATTTTACTGCCGTTTTGCGTTTACGTTCTATAGTTTTATTTTTACTTTTTTACATAGTGACGTGACTAAAAGAATCGTATAAAATCGATTATAGACAGATTCTTTTCGCGAGCGAAAATCTGTTAACACTGCGTCCACCTCGTGATCACGAACGCCATTTTGTTTGTCTCTTCAGTACGAGTGTTCAGTTTGGTTGATTTTGTGTTGTGTTTTTATTTCGTTCTTGTAGTTAAAACTGTTTGATAGTTCTTTCGTTGTTATTAAGTTTTGACTGTAATTTGATTTGTTTTTTTTTTTGTATTTATTAACACTATGGCCGAAACTGAGACCACTAAAAAAAACAGTGATGCGCAGTCAAGCGCGAGAGTTTGTAGTACGCCTACAAGATTACTTTGAAAGAGAGTATGAGAATGGTGGTCCATTGTTGCCACTTTCACAAGTGACTAACCGAGTAAGTGCAGCTCTTGGTATTAGTCGAAAAACTGTTTCCCGAATAAGGAAGGAAAAATATGGTAAAGATTTAATGGAAGATAACAAATTAAAATCGCCATTTAAGAAAAAAGTTAGAAGATCGATAGTTACACATATCGACAATTTTGATTACGACGCCATTAGAAACCATATCTATGGCTACTATAGTAGGAACGAATTGCCGACTCTCGATAAATTGTAAAATACTTTACGAGAATCTGGACTGTTTCACGGCAGTAGAACTTCTTTCTGGAGGGTTTTAAAAAATGTTGACTTTTCTTATAAAAAATGTGATAAAAGGCGGATTTTGATGGAACGTAGAGATATAGCTTTAGCCAGATTTAATTTTCTAAGATCAGCAAAGTCCATTGCCGTTTGGAATAATGTTATATTTCTAGATGAGACGTGGCTAAACGCTAATCATACAGTTGACAAGATATGGACAGACAACACTCCTCCCTCCTCCACAAAAGTACCTAGTGGCAAAGGCGAACGCTTAATTATTTGTCATGCGGGTTCCATGAAGGGATTTGTTCCGAACTGCCTCTTGGCGTTTAAATCTAAGAAAACTGTGGAATACCACGAAGAAATGAATTTTGTTAAATTTAAGGAATGGTTTTGTACCTTATTGACCAACTTGAATGATCCATCGACGATCATTATGGATAATGCACCGTATCATTCAGTACAAATAAGTAAACCTCCAACTTCTAGCAGCAAAAAAGCCGATATTGTGAAATGGCTGAATGACAATAATATTGTTGCTGACATGTCCATGTTAAAAGTTGAGCTGCTGCATTTGGTTGCTATAAATAAGCCAGCTAGACCAAAATACGTAATGGACGAAATGGCTAAGGAAGCCGGACACAATGTAATGCGCCTTCCACCCTACCATTGTCAATACAATGCCATAGAATTGATTTGGGCGCAAATTAAAGGCAAGAATTTAAACAAATCTTTTTTATAATTTATTTTTACCTATTTTAACATTTTATCTGTTGCTATATTAACACGCAAACCTTTATTTTAGGTTATGCGGCTCGTAAAAATACCAGCCCAACGTTTACTGCAAACAAAATGCTGTCATTGTTGCAAGAAGCTTGTGATAGTGTTACTGCCGCGAATTGGGAAAGTGTGATTTACGAAAAAAAAATTTGATTTTCGCTGATTGGGACAGAGACATACATATCGATGCCGTCATAGATAACCAAATTATAAAAAATACAGGGGATTCTACAGACGATGATGAGGGTGATGACGACGATACCGACCATGAAATATCGATTTCGGCTAGTGACGATGAATATGTTCCATCTTGATAAAATATCATGTAATATTATCTAATTAAAATTAAAAAACAGTTTTATAAATTTTAATTTGATGCTAATCCTTTTTCTGTCAATACGATTTTAATTTGTTCGTTATAGTAATCGAAGATCAATATCATCAAGTATCGACTATAGTGGTACTTTACTAGTACTTGATTATTGACATCTGTCAAATGGGACTTCGTAATTGGAATAGAGTATAGCACATATTACTTTTTATTTGTTCGTAAAGTTTTTTTTTACAATCAATTCAGCCATTCCGGAGATTAGCTCGGACAATCAGATATACCTACAAACGAAAATTTAAAATATGGTTGCTCCTGTCTCAATGGCACGTAACTATTTTATCTTTTATTTTTAATGAATTCGTTACCCCTACACTAGGAATTTCTCCTGTATCGTAAAGGCAGACAAACATAAATTGCACAAGGACAAACATCCAGACCCGGAAAAATTATTTGTAGACCATGCAAATACTTGTTCCATGAGGGATTTGAACCCCCCGTCCACAGCGCTGCAACTCATTACTAAGCCTCTGTACTACGGAGCCGTCATGGTATATATTTTATACAAAAATATTAACAAAAAATTTACAATAATTATGAAGAAACCTCTCAGAACTAGTCTAGCTTACAAATTAGTGTAACCGGACTGAATTGTCTATGTCTAATGATTTTTTTGCCACCAGGGCGGCGCCACTTAAAAGTGAGGTCTGTCAAATATTCATTTGACAGATATCATAGCGGGGAACTTAATTTGTTCGGGAAATGTTAAGGTTAATGTTTCTTTGTGTGGTATTAGCTATATTTTATATTAATAAGATTAAAAATAAATAAACCAAACCACAGATATTCATAAAAGTAGAAAAATTTAAAAAAAAGTTAAAAATGTGCAAAAAATTACAGAGCAAACCACTGAGGTATTTTTTGTTTATTAATATAATACTTTTGGAACTGATAAACTTTTATTAAAAAAATAACTTCTCAATTAAATGACATTTTGTAACAAAAAACTTTACCTCTGTGTCAACTAGCGACATCTGGTGAGCAGCAAAATTATTAGCCCTCATTGTTATCATTGTTTCCAATGACAAGTTGGACTGAAGTTATAGGACGTACGGAAAACGCATACCGCAACGTTTTTTTTTGTAGTCTTTACCGGTGGATGGAGTATGTGACAGTATGCTAGCGAGAGGTGAATAGAGGCGATGCTATTTTTTTACTATGCATTGATAGTATCAGGCTCTATTAGCAAAAATTCAAAATGCGAAATACTTATGTTGTTACTTTAATGGTAGAATTTATATACTCTAAATGTCTGTACACTACAGTGATCAAATACTATTTGGGTTTTGGCGGGAACTTGACCGGCGCGGCGGTGGATTACTGCTCCTGTATTATATAGTCTAATATTGGTTTGAAGTGGATTTGAATATGTAAAAGTGGTGCGATTTTGTGTCTTAAATGTCTGTGCAAGTGAACTATTAGTAGAAAAATGTGGTGGAAACGGTGAAACAAGTGCTCCGATAGTGATGTTAATTTCAAGATAAAGTGTCTTCTTAGGCGCCTTGATATAGTATCTCGCCAACTGCTGGCTCAAGTTTGAGTCAAAATCTCCCAAAAACTACGCAATGTAACGCATCAACATATTGTGAAGCAGTGTACTATAAAGAATTACTATCACTTGATACTGAGATAAAAAAAGACATGGCTTAAAAGTCAAGCATCCAAGTAATATATCTTAATAAAAAAAATCTCTATGAACACTGAAACTGAACTGAACATGCGTTTGTTTATAATCTGTTAAATCAAAATGGCCGAATGTAGGCTTGTGCTTCCTTAATTTTGTAGTTGCAGTTCCAATTATTCATTGTAATTATATATTTCTATAAGCAATTTACTAACCTATTGGTAAGTTTTGTTGTGTCGAAAATAAAACCTCATTCTCATTAATGTTATCGGCACTAAATATGTTTTATTAATGTTATAGGAAATTATGCGCCGAAAAAGTGAACGAAGTGCGACCAAGAAAACCAAAGCATCGCCGGAAAAAAAGGTTGAAAAACTTAAACGTACAAGATCTAGGCGTAAAAAATCATCATCTTCTGAGAATGAGTCAGGTGAAGAGACTAAAGTAGAACAGGAAGTTGAAGTCACTAATGTGAAGGAACAAAGTTTAGAGCAAACGACTAAAACAGACAGCCCGGAAGAATCACAAGAACAAGTGTGGCAAGTTAAAGCTGCGGACGGTTCCGGTGATGGTGGGGAGTTACAGAAATTGAAGATTTGCTTAACAAGGCCCCCGTCAACCCCTGAAAGGGTAGATAAATCTCCTCGAAGTAGGAGAAAACAGTCGCGTACCACGAGTTTTAGTGATTCTCAGAGTGTTGAAGAGCCGGAAGAGAAAAAAAAGACTCGACTTCGCACGAAACAATCAACAAGTATATCAAGTGAAAGCTCTGACAAAACAGATATTCATATTGATGAGCCGCAAAAAGAATGCACGTCGGAAAAAAATATGGACACAGAAATTCAAGAGGCTACGGATGTAGTGTCGCAGCCTCAATCAAATGAGGAAAAAACAATGAATGAAAGCGGTGAAATTAAAGAGCCGACCGATTTAAAGTCGAAGTCTCTATTAAATGAGGAAAAAACAGTGAGTGATGAACATGTTTTAACTTCTACAGAATCAAAAACTGAAACATCAACATTGGGTAAAAATAACATACAGAATAAAATATCTGATGAGGATGTGACAAAAGAAAGTGCGAATGATAAATCATCATGTGAAGATCAAGACAAACAAAATAATACTAATAAGGTTTCAGAAAAGAAGAGCCCAGAAAGAGAAAGAAGTATGTCAATTGACAAATCTGAAGTTCTTGAAATACATGCTGATGAAAGTAAAGGTGAAATTTCTGATCTCGGGATTACCAAGTCTCAAAAAGAAGTAAATATTGTTGATCCAGAATCACATGAAGAAATGAGTACAAAAGAAGGGGAATTAGATAAGGTAAGTACAAATGAGGATAAAACTGATAAAAATGTTCTTGAAAATACAGAGTCTTCTCAGAATGAGTTAGAAGTGTCAACTAATGAAACTGATTTTGTAGCAAAATCTGAAACTCCTATGAGTGATATTCCAAAAAAGAGTACTGCTGATGCCACCTCAAGTGCCCACAATGTAAAGTCTATTGATAGTCAAAAAAAAGAACTTGGAATTTTGGAGTCTACACAGTCTAGTAATGAAGATACTGTTCACAATGGTCATAATAATATAGTAATAAATAGAAAACGCAGGTGGGGCTCACGTTCTAACAAATTAATGTCTCAGAAATCAATAACCATCTCTACCGATGTGCTCAAAGAAATCATACCAGATGTCAAACTTGTAGAGTTTGATGAAGTCATTGAAGAAAAGAAACAGCATAAAAGAGTTGAGGTGACAGAAAAGGTTGAAAGGCCAATATTGCCAAAAATTATTATTGATAACACTGAAAATGTAGAGCTAAATAAAAGGGAACAAGAAGATAAAGATAAAGAAAACATGAAACTTAAAGAACCTTCAAGTTTATCTTCCACCCGAAAAATATCTATTGTAAAAGACTCGGACAGTATTGCTATTGTAAGACCGCCTAGCCCACCAAGACATAAACAGTCAAATATTTTGTACATAACAAATCTAGTGAGACCATTCACTTTATCACAATTAAAAAATTTGCTGCAGAGGACTGGACGAATCGTTGAAAATGGTTTTTGGATAGATAGGATTAAATCAAGATGTTATGTCATTTATGAAACTGAAGAGTAAGTTTATATTTACAGACCTAATTATTGTTTTGTCACATATTTAATTTTGGTACTAAGTGACATTTTTTTTTACAGTCAAGCAGTAGAAACTAGACATGCTTTGCATGGAGTGACCTGGCCAGTATCAAATCCTAAAACACTACATGTAGATTTTTCTACACAGGAAGAATTTGATAAAGCTAAAGCAAATGAAGAAACTGATAATGCCCAAGCGTCAACTATGCCAGGCACCGTAGAAGATTGGCTTCGTGAGCAAGATTTAAAAAGAGAAAGGGGAGAATTGGTGTGTTTAATAATGTCTTTTATGTTAAGTTCATCAAACTTAATACAAATGTTTCTTATTATTTTCAAGCTATCCTGAGCCTTCTTTATTTCTAATCCTTATATAAAATCAGTAGTATCAGGTTATTTTGTATTATATCATAAATCAATTGCTAGCACTTCTGGTGTAACCAGTCACAGTGATTCATAACTGCTATCTGCTGCTATCAATATTCACTATAAAGGTGATATAAAGTGTCCAATTAATCCTTTCCTAATAAAATAAGTATATAATTAATTATAGAAGAAAAAAATATTTATTTGTATTTCACAAATATTATTTTGTTTTAAGGATAAACCATGGGAACGTAAAACAATGCGGGAGTGGGATGTAGGAAAAAATGACAGGGGTAAAGAACAAGAAAAAGAAAAATTACGGAGAGATGATAGATCTCTTGAAAAACGACGACATCATACACCAGAGAGAAGTCCTGAACCAGGTACAAATTTTATAACATTTTTTTTTATAGAATAAGGAGAACAATCCAGCGCACTGTTGACCTTATTGGTGAGTGGATGCTGAGGCCCATATGTATCTCCATCAATCTTTGATTAAAATCATAATGCAGATGCTATGTCACCATTAAATATTATGATAGAATGTCTTATGACGATTAAAAAGGGTCTCAGGTTCTCCACACCCACCATATGAAACACAAAAGCATGAAACTGCTATTTTATGATGGTATCGTGTGAGAGAATGATCCCACCCCCATTGAGTATATAGAGTACTGCAGCCATAATGTAGCTGCAGCATAATATAGTAGTAGAGCCTACTACATAACTGACTTCATAACTAAATTATTACATTTTATAATTGTATTTTTATTTGACTTAATGCAATCTTCAATAACAATTTAACAATTTCTTAAGTAAACCGCCTATTTATGCAATTATTTTAGCAAAAAAATTCAAGAAGAAAGAAGAAGCTCCAGCAAAACTCCTAGATGATTTGTTTAGAAAAACTAAAACCACTCCTTGCATCTATTGGTTGCCACTGTCAGCTGAAACTGTAAGTAAACTGCAAAGTCCTTGTTAATGTAATAAGTATAATTTATTGTATGTAATTATATTTTAATTTTACTTATTTTAGATTGCAATAAAAGAAGAACAGCGTCGTCAGCATATGGCCGAGCATGAGAGACGTTTGCAGGAATTACGCCGAACGCACCGCAGACATTAGCATGGTCCGTCCCACATCCATACTCACGTCACTCATCAAACATTATAACCTTTTCAAATATTCATACACATACACACACTCACAACACACATTACATCCAGGTACATTTCACATACATTGTTTTTAACAATTTGTCTCTTTGTCGCTATTTCTTTCAGAATTTAACAGCATAATTAGCAACATATTTTAATATATATATATATATTTATAAATTAGCTAACCATAGAGAAGAATAATTTGATTGTATGTTTTTATGTAGTTACTTTAGGTTAAAACATTTTTCATTCAAGACATTGCAAGGATTATTATTGGAAGTAATTGAATGGTTGGATTTATTTTACACAAAATGTTATAGAAAGGAACAATTGGAGGAAATCCTATGATTTTGAACGTCATCGCTGGGGTCATGCCGTTGCTTGATTCGACGTGAGCAGATGTTGGAACTCCGCTGGGAGAAAAAGATGCAATTATATTTGACGTCATTCCAGTGTGGCAAACTGGGCAAATTATGCTATGTACAACAACCTACCACTGTAAGCATATTGGTCGACTAGTTTTGAACTGAGTCAAACAAACCTTGAAAATCAAACAATATTCATTTCCATGAGATTTCATGAGCACTCTGCAGTTTATATCAACGATCTTGGACCATGAAGACAACGTGGGAACATATAATTGAAGGTTATGATAAGACTAAGCCCCAAAAATCTATAACATGTGGAAAAAGATTTAGTGAATGAATTCACTTCATTTCTATAGCAATCAATTATGTTGAAAACTTTTGGGAACTTGTATGAAAGTTGTCTTTTATGTGAATTATTGTGGACACTTTTCCTAATTGTAGCAATTCCATTGATGTTCAATAAACTGTTTTTGTAAGAAATTTTTTTTTAATCCCAAAGTACATTAAGGGTGAGTGCTAATAACATCATGGCTATTTTATATTTTTATTATTATGGCTAACTTCATGAGTCTCCTATTAGTGTCTATTTTTTTTAATATGGTTTTTAAACAAACTTGTGATAAAACTCAACAGTCTTGTATGTACATACACATACCATTTGAATTTTGTATGAATTTGTTCCGATGTCATAATATTCATCAATGAATAAAAGCAGGATTTTGTGAGGAATAAGTGAAGCATAATGGATGCCATAAACGATCCAGTTTACCGTCAAGTTTGCAGCGCGCTTAAAACGGCGTCAAATTTGCAGTGCATCCATATAGATTATAGACCACTCATGTTCAAGTTCGCCGTCAAGTTTACATGACATACAGTTGACAGTTGAAACCATGGCGTCTCTCGCTTATTTGCTCTGCCTACCGTTATGCATACTTATACGTGGTAGAGCCATGTCGCAGCTATATTAGTAGTATAATTGTAGCACGAATGGGTCGGCTCGACCGGGGAAGGACCACGCTCTCACAGAATAGCAGCGTAAAATGGCAGCTTGATACTGCTGTGTTTCGTATGGTGAGTGTAGAGAAAAGGAGATCCATTTTACTGGAAAAGAGGCATTCCATCTTAGTCCGATTTTTGATTCGTCATTCAGGATAAATGTACATGTCTATGGGTCACAGCAACCACTTACCATCAGGTGGACTGTGTGCTCGTTTCTCATCCTATCCATTAAAAATAAAATACTTGACCGCTCATACACACGTTCAAGTTTGCATGACGCTGCAAGCTTGATCAAGTCGGCAGAATCGAAATTTAATTTTTGCTTCAAGTAGACTTGTCATGCACACTGGTAGCCATACACCGTCAAGTTTACCGGACGCCGCTTCAAGCGCGCTGCAAACTTGACGGTAAATTGGATCATGAAGCAAATACAAAGAGGTTTGGAATTAGATTTCACTGTAGAAAACGCGTGACAATTTGCGGGGTGAGGGGATGTTAAACCCCGCCCACTTTACTAGCCACATGCTCGTTTGCCCCCTCTCCTATAAAAAAGGCCAAAGATAATATATTAATTTACTTAAATTTTGGTTGGAGCGACTCTTTAGCTTTTAAATCATAGATTGCTCTCAGGGCCCTCTTCTGTAAAACAAATATAATTTCAGTGTCAGTCGCATGTCCCCATAGCAAAATACCATACGACATTATGCTAATCAAATAGCTAAAGTAAACAAGTCTAGCTGTTTCCACACTGGTAAGAGCTTTAATCTTTTTTACAGCGTATTCTGTAAGTCTGCTTGCTAATTTTGATATATGGGGGCTCCATTGAAGCTTCGCGTCTAGTGTTATTCCAAGAAAATAGTGATATCGACAAGACTCAGTTCCTCCATTCCTTCCATTTAATATTACATTATTGTTTAAATGTTTGACATTTTTGGAGTCATGAATTTCATACATTTCGTTTTAGTGCCATTTAAATGCAAGTTATTAACATTAAACCAATTTACTAATTTAGATGTACCATTATTTACTTCGTCATATTTTAATAATTGTCGTTTTAATCAGAAAATTAATGAAGTGTCATCACCAAATAATACTATATTATGGTTATCCCCTACTTTGTAAGCTAAGTCATTAATATATACAAGAAACAGAAAGGGGCCCTGAACTGAGCCTTGAGGCACGCTGATTTGTACTATAGACCCTGAAGAGCTCACACTATTAATGACAACTTTTTGAGTTCTGTTACTTAAATATGCAACAATTAATATAAGATCATCACTTCTTACACCGTAGTGTTGTAGTTTCTTGATTAATGTTTCATTGTGAACACAATCGAAGGCTTTGGATAGATAATACCTATCTCTAGTTAAAAATTTCTAAATGAAATTATTCATGTCTATTAAATTAATTCTATTATTATAATGATAACAATTAAATGTCAAGTTTAAATTGTTATTACATGAAAAATTATTCATTGATAAATTTAAATTCAATTCCTTTGAATACCAACGTCATCTATACACGGTGCATCCTGCTCAGGCGTGTCACGTTGTAAAAATCTGAGGTATGGAAAATGGTGGCGCGATTTTCAAATTTGTTCGCATTACTCGTGGGGTATTAAGGTTTAAGAGTTTGCAGTGTATATACTCAACTTATTTATTGAACTATAAGATGTGGGGTATTGAGGTTTAAGGGCTTGCGATTTATTTATATGGGGTTTGTAGTAATATGCGATTTATTTCCTAATTTCAGCTATGGAATTCCATACCTTGAAAAACTTGAGGTATGGAGTGCTCCATACCTTCCATAGTGGAAGTGACACCCCTGATCCTGCTAACTAACTAATTAGCCTATAACGACTTATCGATGGCGGAAAGTCAATTAAAATATTGAAACCAAATTCTAGTCTCGTGATGGGTGGGGAGTCGAATTATCAGTCCCGTGATCAGTGATTATAGGTAATATGCATGCCGATTTGCACATTATGGAAAGTCTTATTAGCACTATACTGCAGTGAACCGTTAATTGTTACAAGCTACTAAAGACGAATAGGCTTCCCATAGTTTGCCTCATAGGGGGATATTTGCCATAGTCGCCACGCTTGTCAAGCTGGTCGGCAACCTCAGTTTTTATGTTTAGCAGGACACTGTTGCCCATCTCCTGATTTGTTTACCTGTGTCGCCTCTTACGACACCCACGGGATGACATGGGTTAGTCGATATTCTTACACCACCACCACACGGTAAACTAACTGCAGTGAAAATTAAGTAATTATGTATTTTTAAAGCACTATAGTTTAAAAATGAGGAAGGGTAGTTATCACCGTCCCTTTAAGGAGTTGGGTGATTTGTATTAACTTTACTTGAAAATGCAAAATGAGTGTAATGTTAAGTTATTAATGAAAACAACAAACTTTACCGTTAGTTTGTCATTTGCATCGGACTTCACACGTAAGTACTACTAAAGAAACAAACAATAATGACAGTCAAAATGAATAGGCTACCATTTTTTAGAATTGGAATATTTAAAACTAGAAGTGGTCCAAGGGTTGACTGGTGTTTATCTACTGTGAAAAGTTGGTCGATTAGGGTTTGTTTTTTTTATTTAATTGCAGGTATTCTAGCGGTGGTTCTTAGACATGTTTTTATCACAATTGGTGCGGCCGTTTCAAGGTCATCAGCTTTTTTTTTTTTCGGGAGTTTTTTAAATTTTTAATTTGAGTTATCTCATAATTGATGGGTAGGAAATCCGACCAGAGAGAGATACACAAGTTTTCACTAATAAACTTATTGCTAAATTTTATGTAAAACTTCAATAAAAACAAGTTTGGAAAATCAAAAAGAGCACGTCTCATAATGCTCATATTATGATAGTGAAAAAATTAAAGAAAATGTAGTTTTATTCGTCAAGAAGTTTCAAGTAGCAGTCACTGAAGTAGACTTTCAAGTTACTCCGTCAAGTCCGGAGGTAAGGTCTCATCATAACTAACAAAACAAGCCCAAAATCGGCACACCTATTACTACTGGTCGAGGAGTTCCAGTAGCAGTCATCGAAGTACCTACACCCTCAGATCACTCTTTCAAGTCCGGAGGTAAGGTCTCATCATAACTAACAAAACGAGGACAAACTTGGCACACCTAGTTCTACTCTTCGGAGGAGTTCCAGTAGCATTTATCGAAGTACGCTTTCAGGTCATTCTATCAAGTCCGGAGGCAGAGGCGTATTAAATGTTGACTGCGCCCTAGGCTAGCCTAGCACCTAATCGGCGCCTCTCTAGGGGCCATATTATATCTATTATAAATTAAATATACTCATTTTGCAAATAAACTATAACTTATAAACATAGTTTAATAATTGCAAAATAATTAGGATACGAGTACCATCAAGAACAATAAATAAAAAATGTGATGAGAGAGTAAGAGCGATTTAGGAGTAATCAAATACGATAATGTTTTTTCGTTTAAAAACTTCCGCGCGCGCCTTTTTAACCTTGAGTCCGTAGGCACGTGCCTAGTTTGCCTTAAGGATAATCCGCCACTGTCCGGAGGTAAGGTCTCATCATAACTAACAAAACGAGCCCAAACTCAGCACACCTATTACTATTACTACTCTTCGAGGAGTTCCAGTAGCATTCTTCGAAGTTCACCTTCAAGTTGGGGCAAGGTCTTATCATAACTGACATAACGATCACAATCTCGGCTCACCTTGTTCTACTTGTCGAGGAGTTCCAGTAGCAAATATCGAAGTACACAGTCCGAGACGTATTAGTATATTTATTCTATATAAATCCTGCATACTTTAAGCGAAAGAAAATATTGTAATAAAAACATGTGATTATGAAAATAATAATAATATCTTACCTTGGTCAAGTATCTATCAAATTTGGTTTTTGAAGTTATACTTCTTTTTGTGGGTTTGGGAAAAATGATGACAGTGAATTTTTACGATGCGCGCGCATACCGACACCTAAAAACGACACTAAGAAGTTGTTACGATGCGCGCGTACACTGACCTAAAAGCTCACCTAAAAGCGACAACTTCAGTGGGTAATTGTCTCCAAAGTTCTTTTTTTGTTTTGTTACGCTAAAGAAGTATAGGAAGATATACGCGTTATAGTGCGTACATAAGTACACATACACTTTTTTGGAATATTTTGTATTTCTAAAGCAATCGATATTTTTCAGCAAAGTGTATAATTAGTAAAATAAATTAAAACAAGGTTGCTGTAATCACCGAAAATTTAGCTATTTCTCAGCCGAAAAAAAAATTGTAACTAAGTAAACAAAACAAAATTAAACTGCCATTTACATTCCATGGCTTCCAACATGATAGATGAAGAGTTAAAAAATAGATTGAGTTGAATAATTGATATTTTTATTACTTACTTATGCCACTAAAACCGCTTTTTTATGTAAAAGTAGAAATTGATCGATTTAAGAAAAATAAGTTGAACAATCATTTACTCGTATATTTCT